CACACGGGACAAGGTCAGAATTCTAGTTGTGTGTTCAAGTCCTGGCTGTAACTAAGTAGCCATACGGTCTTGGGCAGATCATTTAAGGGCATGGAGCTGTCTGGGCTCTTTCCAGATTCTGTTCCTCGTCTGCAAACCTAAGCAGTGCCGTGCCTCACCACAGTTCCTGGCAGGGAGGGAAAGGGGTGAGTATTTTCCAGCCGTGAGAGTAAATGCCTTTTGTTTTTAACTTACCCTGGATGTGTGCATGCTTCCATAAGTCCACTCTAGCGTGCACCCTGCCTCATCACATTCTGTAACAGTTTTGTCTTTGAAGAAATAGAGCTTGCCCAGTGTCTGACCGGGAACCCTGGAGGAAACCCCAACCCTTCCCAGCACTCTGTCCTCATGGTCTTTCCAAGCTACTGACAAGTTCCAAAGGCCAGTCACTGTCATCTTTGAGGAGACTGGGTTTTCTTTCATCGCTGGAAATAGCTCGATTTGTCATTTTATTGCTTTGTCTGTATAAATTTTGTTTAACGGCACTTTTAAAATAAATGGTATGGATTTTTAAATATATTTTGCTTAATTTCAGTGAGAGATAGAAACACCAATGATGAGAGAAAATCATTGATTGGCGGCCTCCTGCCCACTGGGGATCAAACTGTTACCTTCTGGTTCATAGGTTGATGCTCAACACTGAGCCACACTGGCCTGGCAATGTATGTATTTCTTAAATGAGAGTATAAACATTTATGTTCAGGTGTCACCAAATTGCTGATTATTCTTTTAGGCAGAATGCTGTCCCATTCAGAGCTCTAGAAGTAGGGCTGCTGGAGCTGGAGCACTTTCTAGTGACAAAGACTGAAGAGGAGTAGGTACCAGTCTGCTGGGATTAATGGGGAAACGAAATATTCTTTTAATGTCATATTTTCACATGAACAGAATTCAGAAAAAATGTATCTAATCTTTAGCCGGTCCAAACAGCTCTATTCATTAAGCAGCTGCTGAGCACCCATTTAACAAAGCGAACTGAACGTGCCCTGTACTTGGAGCCATGACTTGCTGCTGGGCACGCACGTGATCCTGCTTTAAAGTCGTCCGAGGGCAGCTCTGATAGTTTTGGAGGCTGGGGGTGAGCTGGTGCACACGGAGCATCATGGGCAGTCGGCTCTCACATACACCGAGTCCCCTCAATGACCTTGGGAGGGCGGCACCCGCAGTGTCCAGGGCGGCACTGAGGCCGGGCAGGAGGAAGCTTGTGTGGAATCGTTCGAATCGGGTGTGTTGTCCCTGAAGCCAGTGCTTTCTTCTGCAGCAGTCGGTGGGCATTCAGGTGGGTGTTGAATATGACTTGTACTTACACGTACCTCATGCTACCGAGAGTCTATTAAACTCCGATTAGACTTGACATTTTTCAGCAAGTAAACTAACGTCTTCTGAGATCCTTCTCCTTTCATCTTTAACCTCCATGTTAAGTACTGCCACTTGTTCAACCCTGTGACCGCGCTACCCTTGCCTGACGATGGCATAGATCGTTATGACTGTACAGGTGTGGTGTCACAGTGGTTGATCCCTCGCACTCACAGGCCACACCGTTAGAACACCCAGGTTGATACGCTCTGTTGGTGGGTCCTATGCTGAGAATGTAGAAGGGAAGTATCAGGCAGGATGTGCTGTGACATCTTCATATGAACTATTAGAATCTTCCCCCAACTGAAGTCTACTCAACCAGAACTACATGCTCTTGCTCAGGCTTGTCAGCTATCCCCAGGGAAATCAGTAAACATTTATACTAATAGCACATATGCCTTTGATATGTTATAGAAACAGAAAGAGTTCCTCACTTCTACTGGAAATCCTATCATCAATGGATTCCAAGTAAAGGAATTGTTCTCTGACATTCTATCACCCAAGTGAACTGTAATCATTAAAACTGAAGCGAATAGAACCTGAGTATCAAGGAAATGCTTTAGCAGACTTCCCTGGTAAATCGGTCAGCACTAAGATGGTCCCAATATGAACTCGAATGAATTCCGTAAGATTGATTCGAGCCAAACTATTTATAATTTATATAAAAAACAAAATCAGGCACCTGGGCTGGAACAGTGTTAGCACCAACAAGTGTGCAAATTTAATATTAAATGAAGACTCACTGAGGGCCCAGGTAGTCCCCCGGTTCTTGCCGAGTCCTTGAAAATGCCATGAATAAAAGCTCTATATTCTGCAACTCATCATGGCACAGATAAAATGACCCAAATTATGAAAAATATTGGTAGAGTGACTGCTCCAAGGTTGCAAAATTGGTTTATGACCAATATCTGATTTATCAAACTCATAATGGAAAGACCATTAATAGAAAGACCATTAAGGTATTATATAGAGCATTCCCACCACCTACTGGGCTATCTGAATACTAAAAAATGGGTTTCATTTAATTGCCTCTGCAATGGGTTATCAATATGTTCTCAGGAAGGACTGAAGCCGTCCCATGCAGAATGGCTGACACCACAACCACGGTTGAGAAACTTTTAGAAAATATTTCCTTTATGGGATATCCCCAGAGAAATCTCCAGTGATAGGGGAACTCATTTCACCAGATAAATAACTAAGCAATTAAATAAGGCGCTGCTGACACAATGGCATTATCATCATGCTTACCGTCCATCCTCAGTCACCTGGTAATGTCGAGCAGACAAACGGCAATGAAAAACTAAAGCTAGCTAGGTTAACAGAATCAACTGGACTGCCCTGGCCAAAACTCCTACCACTGGTTTTTGATGGCAATTAGATCAACACCTATGGGAAAGTGTAAACACCTTATGAAATAGTAACAGGAAGACCGATACCTTTGAAAGAACCATATGTGCCTACTGCACTCATAAATTCTGATATGACTCAATATTTAAAGCTTTAATGCATTATGCCAACATGTCTTTCCATCAGGTAAAGGAAGCTTTCCATGACCCTCCTACAGAAGGTTGAACCTTCCACAACTTAGAACCGGGAGAGTGGGTCTTCTGGAAACAGCACCTAAGAAAGACTGCCCCTTGCCTGGCCGGCATGGCTTAGTGATTGAGCGTCGACCTATGAACCAGGAGGTCACAGGTTCGATTCCAGTCAGGGCACATGCCCAGGTTGCGGGCTTGATCCTCAGTGCGGGGCAAGCAGGAGGCAGCTGATCCATGTTTCTCTCTCATCATGGATGTTTCTCTCTCTCTCCCTCTCGCTTCCTCTCTGAATCTATAAAAATATATTAAAAAAAAAAAAAAGACTGCCCTTGAATCTCATTGGAAGGAACAAAGACCAGGTTCTCCTTACTACCCAGATTGAACTTCAGGGATTGAACCTTGGGCCACAGATGTTAGCTGAAAAAAGCTCCTCCAGACTCTTGAACTGCATACCAGCCCGAGATCTAAAGTTAAAATTGACCAGTGAGGTTCCTCCCTGAAGCAGATGATATCCTGAAGCAGACTGTTCTTCCAAGATCACGGATCAACATCTTCCTCTCCAATAGGAACCCTTTATCCCTTCTGCCTATTTGCTATCTGCTTTTTCTTTCTATTACTACATGGAAAACAACATTATAAGTAAGATTTCACAAATAACAGCTGCTGCAGGAAGCTTAACTAGCTATAGGATTTGTCACGTTAAACCAAAAAGTACATGAAGGAAGAGACCCCTCACTCATCCTAAAAATAATTTCACTGGAATCCCAAATGGCGCTGTATGCCTAAATTGTTCATGAGCCCCTTTTATAAAAACACTAAACCCACATACCCCTCTTCCTTGCCTCAATTTGACCCAACCCTGGGGCGGGAAAACGAGACCCATACATACCCAGAGTAGCCAGGGTAAATATCTGTGACACTGCAGAGCATTCACAGGCTTGTCAGCCCCACACATTTAGGCGGTCTTTCAATATGTAATAATGCAGTGTTTGACTGTTTGCTGAACGATGCTAACACCTCTACACCAACCAATGGGTCCATAAATGGTAACATTTATGAGGGAGCCCTAGGAACACTTCTGGCTACGCCTTTACATGTGGAGGTCTTGTCAACGGCCTCTATGCTTGGGCAACTCATTGTCTTGACAGCGGAGGATGAAAGAACAATGTGCTCCTGCTGTATTTACTGTTCCGCTGTCCCTTCACAATCCCTCAGACTGGACAGGGGTCCCCTCCCTGAAATCACACGACTAGCAGGAGTTTAAGTTTACCAGCAGATAGGTGACATTTGGACGGTCCCTTCTTCCTTGGCTTGGAGTTAGTCCAAACAAATACGTGATCAGAAACTTATCCTTAACTCTGGCAGCCACTTCTGAGTCCACTGCTAAAGCCACAGCTGCACAACAGAAGCCCCCGGCTCTCCTGTGAAGGTGGTTTTAGATGATAGAAAGGCACTAGGTTACTTGTTGGCTGAACAAAGAGGAGTCAACCTGGATCAACACCCCTGGCACTGCAGAAACTCAATTATAAGATATTAACAAGCAAGCTACTTGGCAAAAACAGGTTGACATCTCATCCGGTGCATTCATGGGGACCCTGGCTAAGGAGAATACTTCTGACACTTGGGATTATTCTCCTAATAGTCATCAGTAGAGTCTTAAAGGCAACTACCGCTGTGGATTTTGTGTGCTGATTGGGGAATAGGCGACACTTATGAAGGGAAGCAGATAAGTAGAGTGCCATTATTTGGATTTATTGCATTCTGAAGTACCATGGGGTGGGGGGCCTGAGAACAAGTCCGCTTTATCAGCAGTTCTAAAGCCATATTACCTGAGATTTGCATTTGGGGGGTTGGGTGGGGGGGGGGGGGAGAATCAAGACTGAATTATCAATATGTATATCATGAGATTTGGGTTTTGGCCCTGATAGAAGGACCTGTACTAACCTGGAAAAGGTGACATGAGATTAAAGAAAGAAACCAGCTAAACACCAAATCCCAGTGAAAGACGTGGATTTAACCAGAGAGCCACACACGCTAGCAGAACACTTCTCTTTGGGTGGTTAGGAGCGCAGGAACTTGACGCGAGTGCGGGCTGCTCAAGGCGGTCCCCCCCAGGGATCCGCTGCCGGCCGCAGCATTCCCAGGAAAGCCAGTCCCGAGGGCGCATTTCTCGTCTCTGCTCCCTTTCACTTCTCATCGTCCCGTCCATAGTTAATTGTTTGTAAGGCCTGAGCTATGAGCGTAGCCATTTCTCGGGTGCCCGCAGCAACCACTCTGCAGGACATGAGGTCGAGAGGTCCGCCTGAGGACAGAGAGAGACCACGTGGGTTACGGAGAGGGCAGAACAGTCCTGGATAACAACGCAGCATGGGCACACGTGCACATTCCGAGAAAAACAAAGCTCCCAGGCTGTGCTCGAGGCTGGACCAAACAGTCCAGTCGAGGCATGAACAGGACTAGTGGCCTTGCTGGAGCCCTCCGTGCACACACGTGTGCTCACGTGGTTAAATCCAGTGTCGGACTCCTTTTTCATCTGAAACTGGTCTGCCTGGCCTTGCCATCTAAGGCTGATACCTCTTCCCTTTTATACTTTTCTGGTAGCTCAATTAAAGCCTTTAAAGGGGAAAGAAGAAAGAAGTAGAAATCAAACGACAAAAGACCCCTGTACATACCCAATAGTTAAAAGGGAGCCCCAGTATTTGTGCCAACAAGCTCGGGACTCAAAAGCTAGGAGAGAATGGGATCCGACAGGACTCACCCAGCCCCTGACTGGTTACCCCTGAACGTCAGACGACGGTCTGCCTGAGCATAACAGGGGCAGGGATGCTAAGCGGAGTCAGATGTGCCCAGTGGGGTTAGTCTCGGGATGTGATAACCTTGAAGCGGAAGCAACAGGCACCTTTCGGATCCATTCTAGAACCTCACAGGCACCTGCGCAGTACGCTGCTGAGCCACAGGGCTGTGGGTACCAGCCTCCTCTTCGCCAGCTGGGGAGCGTGAGGCCTGTTCTGTCAGTCTCACCAGATTGTGTGCTTAGAAAACTGTCAAATGGTAAGTGGTGGTGCTGCTCCTACTGGCCGTAGTCTGACCCTCGGCTCTGTCTATTTCCACGCCTGGCGGCACAGAGGAGGAAGGCGGGAAGGGCGGGACCACCCCTTTCCCAGTGCCCTCTCGTCAGCAGAGACTGTGAGGAGTGAGGGACGCTCGGTCTGGAGGGGTCACTCAGGCTAGTCTCCGCGTCGCACCCCTGGGGACGGAGGCAAGCCCTGGGTCAGAGGGGCCCACCTGACGTGTCCATCACGATGCCTCCTGCTTCTCTGATGATGACGGTGGCGGCAGCCAGGTCCCAGCAGTGCAGGCCAAACTGGTAATAGGCGTCCGCAGCCCCTGAGGCCAGGAGGCAGAGCGCCAGGGTGGAGCTCCCGATCACTCGGACCCTGGAGGAGAGGGAAGAGAGCAGCCACACGTGTGAGCGGCACCGGGCACACATCAGACTGCTCTTACACCCTGCTCAGGCCTACTTCACCCAGTCACGCCCGCTGTGCGCACTCCCAGGCGTTCAGGAGGAGCCACCGGGCTTCTCCCACAAGCTCTAGGCTCAAAGTCTAGAGTGCTGTGCAGTGCTGACCAGCAGAGCTTTCTGCGGCGACGGGTACCTTCTGCACTCTGGTAGCTCGAGCCACCTGTGCCTGTCGCACACTGGACATGCGGCTGGCACACCTAAACAGCTCAACTGTTCACTCCGTGCATATTTAAATCACCTCATGTGGCCACAGCTACAGCACAGACCTAAGAGGGAGGACAGGAGATGCAGAGGATTCAACTGGACTCGGATTTATTTTCCGAAGTGTTTACTGGAAGAACATCAGTTAGGCAGGGGCCTAAGCACCACAGGACTGGCGGGTTGGGTGGCTGTGGCTGCGATCGGTTCCTGGGCTTCTCAAAGTTGCTCAGAAAGGAACGAAGGTCCCCTTCCGTCCCCTACCAGCTGCTGCGGGAGCCCCCACACTGGACGGGGCAGCACCAGTGGCCGCCCTGGGCCTCGGCACCGCGGTGTGTGCTCCTGTCACAGGATCTTTCTTCCTCAGTCCCCGGGGAGTCTGCAGCGAGACTGTGTTTGTCACCTTCCTCCGTGACCCCAGGTGCTCCGGGGTCTGAAGTCGTACCCGTGAGCCTTGGCGTGGAGTAGCCTCTCCATGTTGCTCAGGAACAGTTTCAGAGTAGCGGGGTCACGCTTGGGACCGATTTCTGTTAGAACCAAGGCCTTGGAAAGATCTGCAATAGAAAGAACGTCCCATCATCAGAAAAATCAAGTCTTGGTTCTAACTGAAGAGTCGGGGGGTTTCCTGACGTGAACTTCAAATATCAGACTCCTGTTTCTTCTAAAATAAGTCTCTTTTGAGTGGTTTACGCTATAAGATTTTTCTAATAGCTATGCTGAAAAGCAAGGACATAGTAAAGAGAGAAACAAAATTCACACTCTATTTCATCATCATTCCTTTAAAGCTGCTTTCTGATTCAGATTTCAGAAGGAGATTTTTAAGTTCTCTCTTTTCAAAAATGGTTAGTGTGAAAACTTGAAGAGTTTGGTGTCTTAGGAAAATCATCATCATTCAATTATAAATAAAACAAAATGACTCCAAACTGGGACCACCCATGTTTGAAGGGAAACAAATGCCTCATCAATTAAATATCTTTAAACCTTTTTAAAAATATTGATTTCAGAGGAGGAAGGGACAGAAATGTCAATGATGAGAGAGAATCATCAATCGGCTGCCTCCTGCACGTCCCCTACTGGGGATCGAGCTTACCACCTGGGCATGTGCCCTTACCAGGAATCAAACCATGACCTCCTGGTTGATAGGTCGACCCTCAACCACTCAGCCATACCAACCAGGCTGTTTTTAAGGATAGATTAATAGAAGTGGAATTTCTGAAAAAATAAAACAGTGGGATTTCAGAATGAAAGAGTGTGCATATTTTAGATTTTGATAATTAAGAAAGACACTGAAGATTTTCCCCCAGGAACTAGAAAGCCAGATAATCAATTTCCATAGGGAGATAAGGACCCACTTTTACTCAGGTTCATAAGATGTGACTACTCCGTTAGGCCTAGGCCTGGCCCAATATGTCCTTATCAGAAGGAGGGCCTGGCTGTAGGGTGAATGGAGAGGAACGTCCTTGAGTGTCAGCCTAGACAAGCAGATGCCCCACTGCAGGGCTGGTGAGGAAAAGCAGGGATTTTCAAACTAAGTGCCCTTGGGCTATTTCACAAGGGAAACAGCACAGTGTGGGAACAGCAATCGCTCACGTCTTACTCTCTTCCAGACACTTCCATGTGTGTGCTCCGTCCTCCATCACATTCGCTGTCTCACTGTCCTTGTTCACAGCGGGGAGACCAAGCTTAGAGAAGGGACCTGCATGGGGTCAGGTAGCCCTTAGTGGTGAGGCCCAGACTTAAACTCAAGCTTGCCTGGTGATACGTGAAAGAAGGGATTTCTTTCCACAGTTTTAAATTTGTAAAAAGATATGTCTGTATCCTCTTCTAGCTGCAATGTATCTATTCTTTCTCACTCTTGCTAATATATTTTTTCCCAAATGAAATCACAAAGAGTAAAAAGGGAGTCTGAGTGCTGCCACCTACAGGCAAAATGCTCTCTACTGTTTTATTTGGTCCTAGGTAAGGAAAATGGTAAAAATTACAAGTCCCTTCTACTTAATATCTTCTTATATTATGATTATTCCTGATTATCTAAAGTACTATGTTTTTGAATTTTATTACCATTTATCCAATATTTATATTTTAGTTTTTAATCAATGCTAATTACATTTTTAATTTAAAATATTCTGTGTCTTCATGGGTGTGTGTGTGTGTGTGTGTGTGTGTGTGTGTGTTGGGAATGGAGAACTACAGCTTAATGGGTACAGAGTTTCTAGTTGTAGTGATAAAAGTTTTGGAAACAGATAGTGGTAATGGTTGCACAACATTGTGAATGTAATTAATACCACTAAATTATACACTTATATATGGCTACAATGGCTAATTTTATGCTAATATATTTTACCCCAATTAAAAAAACACCTAATAGATTTTAAGTAGGGCATCTCTGTATAATATTTAGGGTGAAAAAATATAATTCATGACTTCTGACAGTTTGAAACTCTTTTCTAGTGGAGCAAAGTTAAAAATACCCAGAGTATCAAAGAGTACTTGTCTTAAGATAAATTGTACAATTTAAAGGCAAGAGAAGCAAGTTGTGTGTATACATTGAAATATGTACTCATGGAGAATGAGACGCCTGCGCTTTAAGTCCGGAAAATATCCTCTCTGGGCTCTGGCTGGTTTTGCTGAACGTAGAATTCCTGAAACAACACTTACACCAGCATGTGTTTTTAATACATGTCCTAATTCTCTCAGGCCTCTTATAGACCATTATGAGCTATTCACATGAAAGTAATATTTAACTTTATTTAAGTTAGAAACATAAATACTAAGAATGAAGATTGGTGGTTGGGGGTGGAGGTGGGCAGAGGGGTGCGGGGGAGAGAGTGCTGAATGGGTACAGGATTTACCTTGGAGAGTGCAAATGCGCAGCACTGTGAATGTACTGCCACTGAACTGTTCACTTTAAAATGGTTAATTTTATGTTGACTTTCACCTCAACAAATTACTTTTTAAAAACAAGTAAAAAACAAACAAAACACACATAAGTAACTTGGAAATAAAAAGTATTGTTTAGAATTGGAAATCTATGCAACAACCACAAAGATTTTAATCTCTACAACCCCTCTCTGATAAAAATAGACAGAACAACTAGCAGAGTGAAAACAAAACTATAGACATCATTTACCAAAATAAAAACAAACAACAAATAAACAAAAAAATGCAAAAAAACTATATTGTCAAGGTATATCCAAACCCCAAAATACGATGGGTAGAGCACATCTCCAGCAGCTATAAGACCTGCGGCATCGCAACACCAGGAGGAAGAGAGAAGCATCGGGCACCTACTAGACCTGAGAACAGGAGAACCTCAAAGTCACCAACAGCCGCTCACTGGAAGCCAGCTGGGGTCAATGTGAGAGGAGCTGTGCACACATTGATTCACGAGTCCCTGGTGCAGGATGTGGGGGAAGTCTGAAGGCAGGGAGCCAATCAGCTCTATGACCTCTTGTAACCAGGGCCTGGCAGGGCAGGTTCTGAGTAGAAATGTATGTGAACTCCAAACTCACTAGATAGGATAATAGAGGCAAAGAAAAAAGATGATCCAGGTAACAGTGAAGGCGGGAAACAGAGCCCCCCCACACCCCCCAAAAAGAAAAAAAATCTAAGAACAAGCCAATGCTTTTTAACAGGTCACAAAAACAGAAGAGGGAGCTCTAGAGCTATGAAAACACAAAAACTATCTTGACACGCTCCCTCTCCCCAAGTTCAGGAATACAGATTCCTAGTAGAACAAAGTAAAAGTAAACGAATCATGGTTGAATCCCACACACAACTGTCATTGTCATAAGGAAAAAGAATCAGGGCAGAAAGACATCTCTCCAGTCAATCAAGAATGTCAGAAAGATGTGCCCACAAACAAAAATAGCTTTATGTAAAAAAAAAAAAAAATTAATATTGAGTATCAACTGTCCACTGAAAAGACAGATCCAGGATCTACAACGACCTCTAGACTCCAGATTATGGCTCCGAAAGGCCCTTTTCCATAGATGAGAAAAGCGGAAATTTGAACACTGACTGGATGGCTTATGATTTTAGAAGGGGGTGAGATTGGTATTGTGATTATGATTTTCAAAGAACTGTCTGTATGTTTTAGAGAGCCATACTGATATACTGGCTAGAAAGTGCTGTCACATCGGGGATTTGAATCAGGGAGTTGTTGGGGTGCTGGGAGTTGGGTGGGGGTGGGGATGAAGCAGAATTGGCCATGAGTTGGCAATATTGGAGTTGTGTGGTGGGTCATGTGGGTTCATTGTACTTTTTCTGTCTGCTTTGCACATGTTTGAAATTTTGCCTGGTACAATTTGAAGAAAAAAGCTACTAATAAAATTCTGGCCTTTCATCTTTTACCCCTAACCAGTGTAGCTTTTTTGTTTTTGTGAATTGAAGACATTCCAGAAAGTTTTTATAGGAACTGAAAAAGAGAAGGCAAAGAAAGCACAGGGGGAAAGTTAAGTGGTGGTTGTTTTAATGGCTGTTTCCTTCAGAAATGCATCTATTTCAGCAACGGGCTATAACTGATCTTGTGTGAAGACTCAAGTTTCTCCTTTGATAATGACTCTTATTTTTGGGTCCTGTGTGCCAGGGCTTTGCTGAGTGCTTTCTCTATGTAATTTTATTTAACTTTCCAAGTTTTCATCATCATCACCCCACTTTATACATGAAGACAAGGTTTCAGGTCACAGCGTTAGAAGGTGGCAGATTCAGGATGTGAAACCAGGCCTGCACAACACCTAAGACAGTGCTGCTAGAACGTACACTCCATCCCCTCCCACAGAAACCTCGGCGCCCATCAAACAGAAAACGACCAAGTTGACACACACACTAGACTTTATAAATCAGAATTTTTTTGGGAAAAGAAATCACAAAAGAGCTCTGGAACATGTGTGCAGCCACGGAGGGCTATGACAGTGAGCGGTGGGCAGTGTGGGACCGAAGGGCCTCTGATGGGCCAAATACAGGTGACCCTCAGCCCCTGCCCCCTGGGAGGGATGCGCAGGGCTGGGCCATGGCCTGAGAGCCCCACTGAGGACGCTGCACTACGGAGTGACGCAGGCAGCCGACCAGGAGGCCGAGTGTGTGTGAATGGAGCTGAGTGTTAGATAATCAAATAAAATGTAGAGCAAAGGTCACATGAGCGTGTTTAATAACATGCTTTCTCACTACTGAGTTACACAATTCAGCTTGAGTGGTTGCCTCTTGGCATGTGTGGCTGTAATTAACGCCACCTTTTACTCAGCCAAACAAAACATTTCTGGGAGAGGGAGGCATGGGGCGGGGCTGGCACTCAGGCGGTAACTGGTTAGTGTGTCCTGCTGCCCCTGCCTGTCTGAGCCTCTTGTGACCGGCTCCCCGGCCCCTCACCCAGGGTGCGCTCGTGACTCCCATGGGCCCCCCCAGGAGCCTCATCAGACTCCCCAAGGCAGTCCTGCTCCAGCCTGTCCTTCACACAACGACAGGTCACCTCCCTAACAGACCAGCTGCTCAGGGGCCCTGGCACCATGAGGAGGAGTCTGTGCCGAAGCAAACACCTCCTGGCACCTGGGTCAACACCTTTGGCTGTAGAAACCCAAACGCAAGAAATTAACAAGGCAGGGGACGCTGCTCTCACCGGCTCGTTGTGGACCACGCTAGAGAGCCTCACTTCCTTACTAGAGGAGGGCAGGGCACCTCTTGGTCCTCTCAGTGCCTCTGAGGCCATCTGGGCACACAGGTGTCATCCAAGGAGGAATAAAGGCAGAATAATAGAGACAATGGAGAAAGGGCACAAGGAAAGACATTTTTAAGAGAAGCTGGAAAAGGGTAGAGAAGGGAGGCAGTGAGGAGGGAGAGGAGAGGGAACTCAGAGGAGGAGTGTGGGCGCCATAAACTGAAGCCGTGATGGGCACGTGGAATAACGGAGGGTGGGGGGTGGGGGCACCTTATGATGTCCTGCTGCAGAACACGTGAGTGAGAAGTGAGCAGGAACTGTGCTCTCTCCATTATGGACCCTTTAAAGCGAGGTCCTCAAACTTTTTAAACAGGGGGCCAGCTCACTGTCCCTCAGACATTCCACACATGCGCACGGCGGGCCCGGGACGAGTCGGCTGCTAAGCAGGACAGGCAGCGGCGGCAAAAACACCCGGCCGGCTGGATGAATGTTTTCGGCGGGCCGCATGTGGCCCGCGGGCCGTAGTTTGAGGACCCCTGCTTTAAAGTCTGCTCCTAGCCTCAGGCTCAGCTCTTTCCTTGTCTTGCAATTTTCTCCCCGACAGTATCTGTCCTACAAAATGCTAAAATATCACAGTTTAATCAGAGAGAAAGGCCAAAAAGAGTCAGCAAAACATCTAAAGCAGCATATTGTGCTTAATACATGGTAACATGCAGATTAAGTATAACGCAGTCCCTGTATGAGAGCTGGGCGCCCTCGGGGTTCTGCTTGAGGAGTAACAATGACAGGGGAACATCGGTGGTGAGTGAAAACATCACTTACGCACACGACCTCCCTCAGAAACTGAAGCCAGCTCCACTCAGTCCACAGCCAGGCGGCATATGATGGCTGACATGTACCTGAGCATGCGTCTGGCTCTGCCCGCGGCATTGGACTGCTAGAGACCCACTCATAACTGCTGGGGGTGTCTCTAAGCACTCAAGATGAGAGATGTGAGTACAAAATAGAATGAGACTATTTAAAGCTCCTGGCCACATTCACAAAAACATTGAGATACAGGACTGGCCCAGTTTCCAGTGCATCAAGGACACGGCGTCCCTAAGAAGAGACTGAACTCTCGGCAGGAGACGTCCACCACCATCCCAGGCATTTTCCATCGACATGTCTCAGTCCGAAGGGAGCTGAGACACGCCGCGCGAGGCCCACCTGTCTCCCCGGAGACCTGCAGCCGCTGGCCATTGCAGAAGGCGCCCCGGCCCCTCCGGCCCGTGTACAGCCGCTCCTCCGTGCAGTGGTAAATCACTCCAAACTCAAGCTGCGGGCAGGGCAGAAAACAAGTTCACCTAATGCAGACAGAAAACAGCACAGCAACTCAAAGGCGAAGGCGTCCTAAGAGTTCCTGACGAACGCAATGACGCTGTGCTAGAAAATACTTTCCAAAAGGGGATTAAAAAGCCGCACCTAGATTCAAAACTAGACCTGCATGGAAGCAGGCTTTCTTTTTAAAAATTACTACATTTAAAAAGATACTGCCCTGGCCCTTTTGGCTCAGTGGATTAAGCGTCAGCCTGCGGACTGAAGGGTCCCAGGTTCGATTCTGGTCAAGGGCACATGCCCAGGTTGCAGGCTTGATCTCCAGTAGGGGACATGCAGGAGGCAGCCAATCAATAATAATTCTCTCCTCACTGATGTTTGTATCTCTTTCTCCCTCTTCCTTCTTCTCTCCCTCTCTCTCTCTCTTTCTCTCTCTCTCTCTCTCTCTCTCTCTCTCTCTCTCTCTATATATATATATATATATATATACTAAAACTAAAAAAACTATATTAAACCTTAACATAATGAAGCACTAGTACCTGAAAGTTATTGAAAAAGCTGAATTCTTTAGAAAGGCTTTTTTCTCCCCAAGGGATGGTGGGAGATTACTTGTGACTCTAATCAAACCACAAGTAACCCTCAAAACTGCTGATGTGTGAAGAATGAAGAATGAAGAATGCATCCATAACGCCAACAGAATCACAGAACCCAAGGGCGGTCCCAGGAAGACAGACGTGCCTCATCAGGGGGCTCGTCCCTGCGCGGCGAGCGCCAGCCAGCGGCCGCACTGCCGTCAATCAGCGAGCGGGCCCCGGCCAATCAGGGGTGGTAAAAAGAACTGGCGTGAACAAATGCCACCTGACACCAAGTGCTCTGTGCCTTTCCTCTACTGACTTCTCACTTGTCAGGGTGAACAGCGCAAGTGTGCTCGCTCGGGGTTAGCCAAGTATTCCTCTCTTTGGCAAATGAAGGGAGACCCAGGCCAAAGGCCCCAGGACCATCTGGCTGCCCGGGCTGGGCGGGACTGCTGTGGAAGGGGCTCCCCGACCTGCAGGGATTGGGTTTGTTGCTGGGATGATGGTTCAGCCAGCGCTTACCGAGGGTTCCAGCCTTCCAGCAATCCTCACATGCTCCCCGCTCCACTACGTTGCCTTTAAAGGGCTTCCCAGATTCAGGTCGGCCCTCAAACAGGGCTGGACCTGGGGAGCCTGTGGTGGGGGCCCTGCATGCCTGGGGCAAACAGTGAACGAGGAGGGAGAGGGGGACACTCCCCTTGCCCAGGGCCCTCCACTACAAGCCCAGACCACCTGTGTGCAGTCACACACGCCAGACCCATCATGGGGTGTGGGCCTTGCCAGTGGCAACCTTGCCAGCAGGAAGCACCTTGCCCTCCCTCAGATACGGACACGGCAACCTTGCCAGCACGAAGCACCTTGCCCTCCCTGAGGTGATTGCTCAACACCCTACTCAGTTCAATAGAGACAAGTGAGTAAGTAACTCCTTACCCAAATGTTGATATTGAAAATCTTGCTTAACTTCAACTCAAGTGCTTTTACACGGGTATAAAGTTCCCCACGTTTCCATGCTAGGGAAGCTATGCTAACGCGGAGGATTAAGATGAAAAAAATGGTGTTCCAAAGGAGGGCCGCTTTTGAAGAACACAGCCCCGGTCTTATTTAAATCTGACTGTAGTGACTACAAAGAAGGTAGGGCTTTTCTAAGTGTTATTGCTTAAACTGATTGATACAGTTGAAGCCTTGATCCCACGCCTCTGATGCTGCTTGGCCCCCAGGGTCTCTGGGAACCCTGAAACAGCCCCGTTCTCACACTGACAGCTAGAGGAAGATACAGAAGAATTAATGGAATATTGGGATTAAAAATGTCCTCCAAAAATAGGAGTTCTTTTTGTGTGTGTCTAAATCACACGCCCCAGGGGTCACCGGGAGACCAACTTGGACAATTTGCTCAGAGCGTCCCCTTCCACGGTCACATCAGAAAAAGACCACAGTGAAATCAGGGCCGGCCACAGAGCCCCAAGCTGCACACCCCAAACTGGTTTGCGTGCGCTTGCTTTCTCAGATTTGAAAAACACATGCTTGGATTTACTAGTCACGATTAAGGCCCAGGACAAAGAGAGAAAAACAGGAGTGCCGAGGCTGAAACCAAAAAGGAAGATGACTCAATGAAACCTGGACTGGAGCCCGGGGGGCCCACGGGGCAGGGGCCGGGCCTTCTCGGTTCACGTACCTCTTGGTTCACAGCAAATCCGATGCTGACGGCCACGGTTGGGAATCTGCGAAGGAAACAGAATGGCTTACCCTCTGAGACGCGCTGGCCTCTTGCAAACCAGCACGCGGCACTTAGGAGCCACTGTGAGGCTGCGCAGCGTCGCACGTCGAGGCACAGAAGGGCCTTTCTACAGCGCGGGCGGGTCTGTTTTTTTAAAGGCTGTTTCCCCCCCATTTCACTAATGGCTTCCAAGACAAACAGGCTTAGCCGCCCATGTGGTAAGATAGCTGACCTTGAAGGGAAGCAGTCTTCTGAGACATGTCAAACTGATGGGATTCAACAAGGACCAAGGACCCTATGGAGAGGGACTGTAATCACCACCTTCCTGGTTCTCAGAGACCTAAAGGGACGGCCGAGACCTCCAAAAAGGCCAGACCATGCCCCCGGCGGCGTGATGAGGGCCCCCAGGAGGCAACAGCACAGGCCCAGGCCACAGCCTCCACCCAGAGGTTGGGTCTGGGTGACAACAGCCGTCCTCACCCCGTCTCTGATGTGAGCCCCTGAGCAGGCGTGGGCCACAGGGGCGCAGTTTGCCTGTGGTTTTATGTTGTGATTTTGTTGTTGCTGCTCCGTGTCTTTAAAATAATCTCCTTTATGTGAAGATCATCAGAGCTTAACAACAAGTAGGAACAAGGAAAGGCTGGGCACAGCTAATCCACACGAAGCCAGTCACACACGGATCTGGGCGCTGCCTGCCGAGGCGGGGCCGGGCGACACTGTCGGTGGTGGCCGGCTCCCTGGGCAACCTCAGCCAGGCTCGGCCTCAGTTCCCACTCTCAGAGGAGCTCTCTCCCGGGCGCTTCAGTCCGGACACTGCCACCGCCGGACATAAGGACCAACAGGTCCTATTTGATCTGCAGAGGCCAGAGGCTTCGGGTGTCCAGGCCGCGAGATGCGTGGCCGTGACCCTCGGAGCTCGGGAACCGTAGGGGTCAGCACCACAGCTTATCCTCGGATGATGCCCTCCAAGTCGTCTCTCTGGCCCAGTTCCCCTTGGCCCTTGGCCCTGTGGACCTGTGGCCTTTGCCACACCCCAGGGCTCAGCCGCCCTGTCCCCCTACCGCACATAGAATGGCGAGCGAGGCAGGAGGAACCGGTGCTCCCCTCAGCAAACACACCTAAGCGGGGAGCCCTGCGAGGCCTCAGCAACTCCCCAGGGGTGTCAGGCTTTAGTTAAACCGATAGTCTAGTGACACTGCTGCTATCACCAGATGGCACTATTCAGTTGCCTCGAAAGGGTCAGCTGTGTGGGACGACTGACTGAATTCTGAAGAGAAACCACGTTTAGAAAAGGGCGGTGAGTAACACGCTACATCAGAAGTAGTTTCCCGACTTACATATAAACATACTGTTTGTGGCAGCACATCAGGGGACAGTGACAAGAGCCAGGGCCCCATCATCTGGCTGAGCTCACGCTCTATCACTTTACGTGAGGAAATGGAGCGTCTCTGTGTCATCTATGACAGGGGCTCTAAGTATGGTCCAGGAATGCAGATCCCCAACCTACTGAGTGGGGACCGGGGCACGGGCCAGGAGCCTGTGCCAACCAGCAATCCGGGGCTCTATGCGTGCTCCCATCGGAGAACCACCCTCTGTGGAAACCACATCCCTGTTAGTGCCCTTAGTCCTGGACAAGTGGGTACAGTCTACCACGGGACCATGTCCCCGTCACCCCCCCAGGCTCTGTGGCTCACTCCCCCGCCCCTACCCCCACCGGCCCCACTGACCTCCCCACAACCTACTGCTCTCTGGCTGTTGTTGGTCCAGTCAGATTAGCGCCGACCAGCTTCTAACGGGTTCCTCATCCCATCGCATGGCGACATGAGGTTAGCTCCCACTCCAACCGCGGCTGCGGAAGGCCACCCTGACATGCCCCTGCCCACACCTCATGCCCTGGCAGCTGCTGGGTTGTATACACTTGCTTTCCAACCCTGTTTGCTTCTCCAGGGGGCCTTTTTAATTTAACCCAATATTGTAAACATAGCAGTGTCGGCCCGCGTACTGAAGGGTTATGGATTCAATTCCTGGTCAAGGGACTGTATCTGGGTTGCAGGTTCGATCCCAGGCCCTGATAGCGGTGCATTCAGGAGGCAACCACTTGATTTGTCTCTCTCACATCTATGTCTCTCTCTCTCTCTCTCTCTCTCTCTCTCTCTCTCTCTCTCTCTCTCTCTCTCCCCTGCTCCCTCCCTCCCTTCCACTCTCTAAAAAAAATAAATTAATGGAAAAATATCTTCAAATGAGGATTAACAAAACAAAGCAAAACAATCAAGACTTGATCACCTTTTAGATAAGACTATAAGCCTATCAGAGGTTTGCTCATGTACTCCTGCCCCCAAAACTGCTGCTTTGGGAAAGACAAAGTCTTGGAGAAGAGGGCAGTGTAGGCAGGAGAGCGGGGCGACCCGTGCTGATGCTCACCTGTGCACAAAGTTGCAGGTGCCGTCAATGGGGTCGATAATCCAGGTGGGGCTGGGGGTGAGCACGCACTTGGCCCCTGCAGCCGCGGCCTCTTCAGCAATGAACCTGTGGTGGGCAGGAGCTCAGCCTGAGAAAATGCACCAAGAACGCAAGACAAAGCGCTTCAAACTGCTTCCATGCCGTCAAAGACAAGCAGACACAGTAAAGAGACTTCATTCTAATTTCTCCAGGCCAAACAGAGGCAGAGTCTGTAACAGACCATCTGTGTGTCCCTCTGTCTGCCAGTCTTCTGACTCAGCAGGATTTAGAAAACCCCAAATGACACCTTGATGTAGTTTTGGAAAAGCATCAGGGAGTATGAGTGGGCCAGGCAAGACAAGAAATACAGGAAGGAAGAACCCTGGGCTGCAGGTCTTATAAAGCAACTCTGTCTTCACTTTAGTCTGGAGGAGAGGAGGCCGGAGACAACGAGAAGGAAGCGCATGAGGAACGCCGGCCTCGGAGCAGGGCCCCGCTTGGGTTCTCCCGCTAGTGGTGCTGCAGCCGGAGAAGACAGCCTGCCTGGACCTGAGGTGCTAAACGCTCACCTACAGCTGGCCTCTCCAAATGCAGACAAGGTGTCAACTGCATCCGCACCCACGGGTCTCCACTGTCTGGGCGCGATGGGAGCTGACACTTCTCCACAGAGGCCCTCTCTACCCAAGCGCCCGGGGTGGGCTGCCCCACAAGGCACTCCTGCCCCCTGGGAACCCGAGGTGGAGCGTCCCCCACCTGCCATCCCTGGCAGCCCCCACAGGAGCACCCCAGCCTCAGGCCCGTGCACCACCCTGCACCAGCTGTAGGGGCCCCTGGCCCTGGCTCCCTCCCCTGTAATTAGTCCTCTATAGTCCACACCTTCCTGAAACCATTTTCATTTGAGTGGACCTTCTATATCATATTAGGAACCTGAACAAAACAACCAACATCTCACCATCAGCCTGCACCACAGGGAGCTCCTGGTCATCTTTATTCACGTTTATCTTAGCAAACGGCACCACCAAGGACCCAGCTGCTTAGGCTGCCCCAGTTCTTCCCTCCTGACTCCCTCCTCCAGCCACCCACACAGGCTCCGCACAGCACGGCGAGGGCCACGGCGCTGGGGTCCCCGCAGAGCTGGTCCTTGCTTCCGCCTCCTGGAGCTGTTCTCGGGAGTGACGAGCAGACTCTACCCAAAGCAGACAAGGCAGTGCTCGGCACACAGGAGTGCTCGGCACGTGCTCCTAACGGTCACAGAGCCGGGTTCACCGGGGGCTGGGGGCTCTGCCCCTCACTGCCATGTCACCAGGGCCTGGCCCGTGGCAGGCACCAAGCAAACATGTGTTTTATGTGCTGAGAGGTTTTCCATTAGCACAGTGGTTCTCAACCTTCTGGCCCTTTATACAGTTCCTCATGTTGTGACCCAACCATAAAATTATTTTCGTTGCTACTTCATCACTGTAATGTGGCTACTGTTATGAATCGTCATGTAAATATCTGACATGCAGGATGGTCTTAGGCGACCCCTGTGAAAGGGTCGTTCGACCGCCAAAGGGGTCATGACTATGACCCCTTAATTACAGGGGAGGGAGCCAGGGAACCACTGCATTAGCATCTCGTGTCATGTCCATGCCTGTACTAGAGAGAGAGGAGCCTGCAGACAACACGTTTTTATGAAGAAGGAAACGTGAGTGACGAACAAGAAATGCTTCATGTCCTTCTGCTGGCATCTGGTGTGCTGTCAGTCATGGTCGCCCGACAGCTGCCTAACCCCTGATGTCACAGACTAAGAGGTCAGAGAGCTGGCAGGACCCTGCCCCTCAGCTGCAAGGAGCTCCTAGAAATCACTCTTCCCAGAGGAACCATCTGTCCTACGACTTGTCAGCAATGAACTTGCAGATGAGATTGACATCATATCGTTAATAAAAAGAAAGAATGGAAAGCTCTGTAACTGCTCTGTGCAATCCAATAGCTACCAGCTACCTGTGACTGTTTACATTTAAAGTAAATTTTTAAAATCTAAAAAGTCAGTTCCTTAGCCTCACTAGTCACATGTCAAGTGCTCGAAAGTCACACGGGCTAGAGCAGCTGTGGGCAAACTACGGCCCGCGGGCCAGATCCGGCCTGTTTGAAATGAATAAAACTATTGAAAAAAAAGACCGTACCCTTTTATGTAATGATGTTTACTTTGAATTTATATTTGTTCACACAAACACTCCATCCATGCTTTTGTTCCGGCCCTCCGGTCCAGTTTAAGAACCCATTGTGGCCCTCAAGTCAAAAAGTTTGCCCACCCCTGGGCTAGAGGCTCTCGCAGTGGACAGTGCAGACAGAACCAGTCTGTCTTTGCAGAAGTTCTGTGGGCAGGTTGTCCTGTCAGTAGTGCTGTGAAATAAGAACATGCACCTTGTGTTCTAACATCGCTTCTCAGTTGATTATAGCGCTGCCTTATGCACTGTAATTCATCTGCTCCCCGACAACTCTGGGTGACATTCCCATTTCACAGATTATGAAACTCATGCTCTATATGCACACACACTCCTCCAGCCCCTCTGTCTCATAGATAAATTATGTGGAAATGCATCAGGGTATATGATGAATGTACATATGTCATTTTCAACTTGGTGTTTCCACCTTCTCCTTCCCGCGGCCTCTTAGAGAAACCCACCCAGGAGCAGGCAACGCATTGGGACTGGGAGCACTGAGTGAGACACCTGAGAAACCCATGTCCTGAAGAGCGGCAGCTGTGCAGGAAAGCTGGCGAGCACCACCTGCCCCAGCAGCTGTCCATCCAGAGTGCGACCAGAGGGAGTGGACACTGGTTCGTCCCTTTGTCTGCTTCGTGTCCCTCCTGCTGCTGGGAGCTGCCTCCCTACCATTCCCTCCCTCCATGGGCTGTCAGATCCTTTGGATCACACCATCCAGGCAGGCAAGTCCAGGTGGAAGAAATGGGTGGTGAAAGACATGAGGAAGTCAGAGGAGCCATGGTGGGCAGGCGCGGCCAGGCAGTGACACCTGAACTCCCGGCCACAGCAGAAACCCAGGTGAGGCCCGCAAAGAATCACTTCACTTAGCTCAGTGGTTCTCAACCTTGGCTGCACATTAGAATCACCTGGGAATCTTTTTAAAATCCTGATTTCTGGGCCCCATCCTCTGGAAATTCTGTTTCTTTGTTATGGGGTGGGGCCAAGGTTGAGAACCACTGACTTAGCTGATGATTAAACAAAGAATTAGCTCTGCCGGTTCCTGTGGCCAAAGCCTAAGAGATTATATCTGTTTTCAATGTCTTCTTCTGAGCTACATGATTTCCCCCTGGAATGGCTTATGAATATGTTCTTAAAGAAAAGGGTCCATGCCCAGCCAGTGTGGCTCTGCGTCGACCTATGAACCAGGAGGTCACGGTCCAATTCCCAATCAGGGAACATGCCCAGCTTGTGAACTCGGTCCCCGGTGGGAGGTGTGGGGGGTGTGCAAGAGGCAGCCGATTGGTGATTCTCTTTCATTACTGATGTTTCTATCTCTCCCTTCCTCTCCCTTCCTCTCCCTTCCTCTCTTGAAATCCTATATAATAAAAGCCTAGGTGGCGTCACATGCAACGTCGCCACAAGATGGCCGCCCCAAGATGGCCAGCAGGGGAGGGCAGTTGGGGGTGACCAGGCCAGCAGGGGAGGGCAGTTGGGGGTGACCAGGCCAGCAGGGGAGGGCAGTTGGGGGTGACCAGGCCAGCAGGGGAGGGCAGTTGGGGGTGACCAGGCCTGCAGGGGAGGGCAGTTGGGGGTGACCAGGCCTGCAGGGGAGGGCAGTTGGGGGCGATCAGGTGGCAGGGGAGCGGTTAGGGGGCAATCAGGCTAGCAGGCAGTAGCGGTTAGGAGCCAACAGTCCTGGCTTGTGAGAGGGATGTCTGACTGCCAGTTTAGGCCCAATCCCTAACCAGCAGTCAGACATCCCCCAAGGGGTCCCAGATTGGAGAGGGTGGGCTGAGGGACACCCACCCCCCCATGCATGAATTTCATGCACTGGACCTCTAGTCAATTATAAAAACAAACAAAACATATTCAAGAAGATTCCACACCCTAAAAATACACAAGGACCAAGTGCCAAAGCTTAAGTTGCGCACAAATTGATAAAGCAATAAGAAGATACAGTGGGGCCTTGACTTACGAGTGTCCCGACTAACGAGTTTTTCGAGATACGAGCTGTCTCTCGGTCGATTTTTTGCTTTGAGTTGCGAGCTAAAATTCGGGTTACGAGCCAGCTTCAGATACCCCACCGCTAGTTGGCGCAGCGAACGTCACAGTGAACGCCACAACATCAGCCCAGCATCACGTGTCTCACTCGTTCACTGTTGATTTGGCATACGAGTAATTTGAGTTACGAGCTCCGTCACGGAACGAATTAAACTTGTAAGTCAAGGCCCCACTGTATTACTAAGGTCAAGTGGGGAATGGAAATGACTCACATGCAAAGGTTAATTCCCAGGGAACTGAGGAGGAATGTGGCATTTTTTTCTTTTTTGAAATTAAAGGTGACTTTAAGTGGAAAGCTGGTACCCATGAACATTGGAGGAGAAATTGCTGGGGGAAGGAAGGGTCTTGCAGGACTGACACCTAACGTGCGTGTCAGAGGGCGTGGCCTACAGCACAAAGGCCATTCACGTGGCACACCCATGAGGCTGCTGAGGACGTGGACCAACAGGTCTGTCAGCTCATTAGCAAGTCGTGTTGGGATGCGGCTCTGGGGTCACCCAGCAGCTTGGTTGCAGCAGCACCCATAATGTTCCTGTTAGCACAGCGTTTGCTCTGCACAGCATTTGACAGGAATAACTCAAAACGCCCTGACTAAGCGCTGAACTTGTTCAGTAGTTGGTTATTCACGCCCAAGAGTTCTCCTCCTCTTCCCCCAGATGCCCGAGTGAAAGGCGATGAAAGGTCACCGCCCTACCTGCTCGGTGCCTGAGGTCTGGGGCAGGGCCTCCTGGAAGCTAACCGTGTCCACCCTTGAGTCACTAAAACTACCTCACTTGTATGTGGGGAGGGAGGTCAAGGTTTCATTTACTTAAACCTGATTGTCCTTGTGTGGGAAGCGAATGGGGACATCACCTGGGACACAGGGAAGTGAGAAAAGAAGATGTAAGACCTTCATAAGAGCACTGGGACAGCTACATAAAATCAGGGACACAAATAGGAAACAACACACGTGACTAACTGTGAGGCGCTCAAGGGCCATCTCATGAGTCTATCTAAGGTACAAGGGGAAAACAGCAAACGGGATAAGGTTCAAAGTCAGGTGACAAATCGGAAGGATACTTTCTGCTGCAGATTTAACTCCTTTCCTTTCTTTCTTTCTCATGGTCCTAACTGACGGCCAAGCACATCTGGGGCTCTTCCTGGCTAGGATGTTCTCTGTGACAGGCCAGGCCACTGGGGAGCCACTTAATGTCCCTCCGCCTCATCTTCTCAGGCTGCAGCCCTCCCCACCCCCAGCACCACAGCGGCTCTGTGCCCTGGACACGTGCACCCAGCGCAAACCTCAGTGGGAATACGGAAGAATGCAAGTGTCCAGCTGGCGGTAGCTGGGAACCTATTTTTTCCAAGTTCAGGACTGTGCTGGGCACACTGCAGGGCTCAGGGGTCACCACGATGGACAGAACCCCATCCCGCCAAGGGGAGTCCAGGGCAGGCGGCTGCCGATATCGAGCAGCCCAAGCCGTTGTCCTCCTCCCTTTGCCTGTGTCAACCCAGACAAAAGGGACAGAGATAGGTGCACATACATATGGTTCAGTGATGCTACTGAATATTTTCAAAGTTGCAAACCTTGGCTCTCACGCAAGGTTTAAGCATGCAGCAGGGCAGGCCTGGATGGGGACTGGATCTCAGCCTGGCGCTGAGATCATTATCCCCATGTGGCAGCATCACTGCAGGAGCCATACACTGCACTAACCTTGGTGGGTCCTTCACTCCGAGGTGAGGCGTCCCAGGTGACTGCCAAAGCTGGAGGCAGAAGCAAGTTTAAACTTACTCATCTTTGATTCAGTCTGTGCCTGATGCTCAGGTCAGGGACCCAGACTTTGGATTTCATGAATGAGTAAAATGGAATAATAAACCAGGGAGCCTACAGCACATTGTTAACACAAAACAGTTGCAATCTAGCTTTAATATTGTTTCGTGGAGACTAAAAGGAGGAAGGACATACGCTCAGAAAGCAAGTCCTTCCTAAAAAAGGACGACGGGTACCGTCTGCTAACATGTTTAAGGGATATACTGAAACACTGTGAATGCAGAAAAATTACAACACACTGTTTTATTTTACGATATGGACGCAATTTTCCCATCATAAATTTGTCTAGGATCTAAGACATAATTAAGTGCCAAAAATTCTTAGTCACTGGCAAAACCAAACTTGCCCATAGATACGTTGAAAAATGATTTCATCTCATTTGAATTATCTAGGCACACTGAGAGCAGAGAATAGGGGCAGTGACACCCAGCCTCCAGCCATGTCCCCACACTGCCCTCAGAGCAGAGAGGAGAGGGATGGCAAAGACCCAGGGGCCGGGCACAGGCCAGCCATGTCTCTGTCCTCATGCCTGGTGGTATGAGCTTGGGGACCGCAGTTTGGGAACCACTGCCCTAAATCACTGACTCCTGCTCAGGTGTGTGCATCTGCTCCTCCCAGGGCTTTTGTTAAGAGTGGAGGCTTCTACCCGGGTACCTCACCTTGGGTGCATCAGGGTAACCAGTTAGAAGGAAGCAACAGGCTTGGCATTAGCCAGCGGGAGACGCTCCCAGATGGCCCCGATGCACACTCTAGGTGAGGTACACTGCTCGGGTAGGTGGTGAGGTGCACTGCTCTGGGGAGATGATGAGGTGCACTGCTCTGGGGAGATGGTGAGGGACACTGCTCTGGGGAGATGGTGAGGGACACTGCTCTGGGGAGATGGTGAGGTGCACTGCTCTGGGGAGATGGTGAGGGACACTGCTCAGGGGAGATGGTGAGGGACACTACTCTGGGGAGATGGTGAGGTGCACTGCTCTGGGGAGATGGTGAGGGACACTGCTCAGGGGAGATGGTGAGGGACACTGTCTGGGGACATGGTGAGGGACACTGTCTGGGAACATGGTGAGGGACACTGCTGGGTAGATGCTTCCGAAGAGGCTTCGGTGCCTGGCAGTCCCCTGGTGACCGTGAGGCTGTGGAGTAGAGGTGGGAGAAGCTGCATTCACACATAGAATATGCTGAGCTTTATTCTGTGACACAGCAATATTTAAATTTACCTTGTGAAAATGGGATCCACACCCCATGCTGACACAACAGTGGATCCAAACCAAACCACTAGCAACTGCTGCCAACACATACAGTAGGGCATGCAATTTCAGAATTTAGTTTGTCAGAGTACTGTGATCTGATTGAAATCAGCCGGAGCCCTGATGATGCCATTAGCCGAGTCTGCAGTGACCTCAGGGGCCTACCAGGACCCCACAGAGCCGACCCCGCCCTCACTTCAGTCGGAGCCAACTGCCAATCCCACTACAATCTCAAGAAACAAAATAGTTCCTCATCCAGAACCAGCTGGCTGGTGCTTTTCTTCTCAAAGAATAAAAGCAAACTGTATAATCCTTTTGACATTGCCATTTAATTTAGATTTTAAAAAGTTAAAAAAAATATAAACATTTTAGAGCTTGTAAAAATTTTAACAGATGTCAGGGATCTTGGCCTCACAGAGAATAAGGAAATATGAAATAATAACAAACACTCACACACAATGGTTGTCAACAAAAGGAAATAAACACAACCATTGGCAGGGAGAATTTTGAAGGGAGCTGCTGACCCTGAGATAACCTGACCAGTTAGGAGGAAACAACAGGGAAAAGGGAGGGAAGTTTGAACCCCAGCTTGTCCTTTCCTCCAATTCAGTGGTTCTCAACCTTCCTGATGCTGCGACCCTTTAACACAGTTCCTCATGTTGTGGTGACCCCCAATTTCATTGTTACAAATTAAACAAAATTAAAGCATAGTGATTAATCACAAAAACAATATGTAATTATATATGTGTTTTCTGATGGTCTTAGGCGACCCCTGTGAAAGGGTCGTTTGACCCCCAAAGGGGTCGCGACCCACAGGTTGAGAACCGCTGCTCCAACTGATCATGCGGAGGGGAAGGTCTACTGTGCCTCCCCCGGCCGGATGGCCGCTGGGGAGATGGCTTTCCCATACCTCGGCCCGTAAGCACATAGAAACGTGGAATCTGACGCCACAGTGATCTGAATCCAGAAACCAAGCCCTGGCGTTCCGTTGTGGCGATTCTCCGTCAGAAAGGAAAGAGGCCCCGCACCCAGGGCAGCGGTTTTCAGGCTGTTCTGCAGAACCCCGGGGGCGGCAGGGGCCTGTGGACCCCGGAGCCCAGGACCGCCTTCCTCTGGGGTCTGTGGCTCCCTTGGAACTAGATGCAAAATGCTGTGGACACATTTGGATTTCTCGGAGGAAAAGATTTATAGTTGGCATTGGATTCCCCATAATGGTGAAGAATAATGGTGACTCCAAAAAGGTTAAGAGCTTCTCTAGCTAGCGGGTGGGGTCCTCCTAAAGACCTCAGGCAGGAGAGCAGCCTTCCCAGCCGTGGCCTGGAGGTGGCCTGGCAAGGAGGCTGCCGACTGACTGCCTGCCAGCAGGGGCCCCGCAGCTGGCTGCCCGCTCAGGGTCACTCCCTTAGAAAAGCCACGTGGTGCCGATCAGACAGGGGCTGCCAGGGAACATTACCGCTCCCAGTCCCTCCAGAAACATGCTACGGGGCTTGGCGGAGGGGAGCATGCGCTGTCAAAGTGAAGCCTTGTCCGCATTTACTAGTATAAGGTACTATGTGACCTGAGGGTTCTCAAGATGGGAGTAAAAAGAATGAACACAAGGGCCAGTTTGTTCACCAAGCAATCAAAATATCGGGGGCTTCCTGTCTGAGGTCTGCCCCCATCGGCCAGCGCGCTGCCTCCCTGAGTTGGACTCTGACCTTCCCCATGAACGTGGCCATGAACGCCTGGGAGTTTTCCCCAGGGACCCGCCTACCTGTGCGAAGGAAACCTCTTCTGCATCTCAGAAATAATTAAGTCTTCCACAAGCTGGTCCGTTTCTGTCACCAGATCTGCAGCGGATGTTTTTGTTGAGACCTGCTTTTCCTCAGAAAGGGCTTTTCTGATGATCTGGAATAAAAGGCCAGGAGGGCAGGTTAAACTAAAGCGTCCCCTTGCCCCAGACGAAGGCGCTCCCCGGCCTGTGGGCCCAGCGCTGACTTTGGCCAGCCCTGGGGGGGAAGGAGGCGTGTGGGCCTGTGGACCAGTTCCTGACAGCCTGCCCGGCTTAATCTCACACCCAAGACTTTCTGTTTGGGGTTCTAGTGAGCTTTCATTACCCGCTATTCTTTCCATAAGAAAGACAGACTCACTTGCTGAAGTTTTGTTCTATTTGTGAAACACATCTTCTTGGAAGAAAAAGAAAAGCAATGGTTTTGAAGACCGTGAAACCTCATCCAGTGTAAGGTGATGTAAGTCACCTTTGGATGCGTCGGGTCCCCTGAATTTGAATTTATGAGATTTCTGCGTAAAAACTTATTTTCCCTAACTCACTCTGTGCATCACGAGATGGAATACGCTCTTGCGTGCAGGTTACACATGCTCAGGCTGAGAAGCCTGGGAAAGCCGCAACGTTCCTCGAGAGCACGGAGGCGCACTCTCTCTCTGCTCTGGGTCCGAGGGAGAGCCCAAGGGTACCTGCACCTGAACCAGCTTTGGTGCCAAGCACCTGAGCCCTGCGGGCCGAGCGCGCAGGCAAGCTCTGCAGATGTGCGGGCTGCCAGCACATCCTGTCTAAACCCACTATGGCTAAATATAGGGCCAGGAATAGAGGGCACCCCACCTCTCGTACCCCCCGCCCCCCGGCCTAATCTGGTTCCGGGAAGCACTGGGAGACCCAAACAGGAGGGCACGCAGAGTGGTCACTCAGCCACAGGACGCGCCGGAGAGGTCAGTTCTAGTTTGTAAAATCAAAATTACCACTACGCCAGCTCAGGCCTTTCTGGAAATTTCTGTCATTTCTTACCATGATGACAAAGTTAGACACCTACAAGGACTTCAGACCTTCCCTCCGAAACTGGACACCACCCCAAAATCTCACATTTCTTTCCAAAGCACCTCAATTGCTCAGCTGCCCAGACTTGACGGCTTTTGCCTATCAAGACCCTTATTGTCCGACCTCAGATACCCACTTCCTGATACCTTTTCGATGTCCAGCCTGTGCTACGTACTAAGGAGGCTGAAGAGGAGGCAGGAAGAGATTCACCCAGAAGTCTGCAGGCAGGAGATGTTCACGTGGAATTTTAAAGAATGAGCAGGAGAACCTTCTAGACATGGAGCAGCCCCTTCCCTTTATGTTTCTCACAGAAGTCCCCCGTCCTAGTACTGGCCCAAACAATACTGAGCCTGGGCAGGTTTTGTGCGTTTGTTTTTTCATCTTAGTTGCAAAAGTAATCAACACAAACTATAGAAAATTTGGAGTGTAATGTATTCTGTAAGTAATACAAAAGACCAAGCACACAGCAGTCATGCACAAGGCATTAGCAAAGACGGTCCCTTTCCTATTTCTGTGCGAGCCCGCAGACTGCCACCCGGGCCTTCCTGTTCCTTCTATCTGCAGCATCCCCCTCAGCGCTGTCAGGTTCATCTCCCAAAAACACCAATGTGCAGAAAGCCAGCTCCCACCAAATAAATCTCCATGGTTCCTGTTTATGAATATCAAACACCTCGAATCTAGCTCATATAGAACCTGCCCTGTCCTCCAGGAATCCCTAAATTTGTAGCTAGTCCAGACCTCCTGTCCACAGGTCATTTGACAGTGAGCTTGTGTCTAGTATTTCAGTGTGGTGTGTCTGTCAGGGGGAAGAGTGTATATGGTTTATGTTGTGTATGTAGGAGGGTATATGTGTATATGTGGGGGTTTATATAGTGTGAAGGGAAATATGTGGTGTGTATGTGGGGTGTGTATATGTGCTATGTTTATATGTGCTTGTGAGGGTGTTATATATGGTGTGTGTGTGTGTGTGTATGTGTGTGTAGGTATGTATACATATAGTTAGAGAGAGGGAGAGAGAAACACACCCTAATCAGGGGACATACCACTAGAGCTTCTCAAATATTAATGTACATGAATCACCTGGGGTCTTGTTGAAATGAAGACTGTGATTGAAGAGGGGTGGGTTTTGGGGTCTGAGATTTGCATTTCTGACAAGTTCTGTGGCGACACTTGAGTAGCAGGGACTGGAGTGGCTCTGAGTGAGGAAGGGTTCTCAGGAGGCTGGGTGTTCTGGGACCCCACATGAGTCCTGGGGCCTCCACCTGAGAGGACACAGCTTCGTTTACACTTACCCTATCCCCACGTGTGGTAGGCATTCATGCGATTCAAGATCACGATTCCCTGTAGTCTTTATGTGGAAGCTAGGTGGATGATTTCTAAACATCGTCAGCTTGTGTCATGTTAATGCTGGAACTACCCAATGTCTTCCCATCGCTTTTAGGACAAAGCCCCAGATCCCACATGAGGAGACCGTCACCACCTGCCAATCTTGCCTCCCAAAGGCCACCTGGTTTTCTGGCCCATCCCAACCAAATTTGTTTCTGTCCCGGTGACTTCATATTTTCTGGTTCTTCTGTCTGAAACTTCCCGCCATCTGAGATCAGCCTGTTTGCTTCACGGTTGACGAAATGTCTCTCCCCAGTGGCACGTGAGCTTCGGGAGAGCAGAGTTCACTCTCTTTTGTTCCCTGCCACACTGTTAGCATCTAGAATTGTACCTGGCAGAGTAGGTATCCAGAATTCTTTGAATCATGAATAAAATACACATCAGACTGCTTGAATAGCTTCTGCACCATTTTATCCAAGTGAACCTCTCGTGTTTGTGTGAATACTAACCACCTTGGTCTTTTTGTTTCATTTCATTGTGGTATTGTTGTGCTTTTTGGTTGTCCTGTTTAACACAGTCTTAATTGTGCTTGAAGTCTGACAAACTCGAGCCTCCACCCACTAGCCCTATCTCTTGGAGCTGGCCTCAATCTGCTTTATGGCACTCAAGTCCATTCTCCACCCACAGCCAGGAGAGTTGGTTAGAACTCTGATCTTTACCATGGCTCTTCCCAGCAGAAGTTCTTAATGGCTCCCTATTACTCCAAGATAAAAGCCAACACCTCAGTGAAGGTGGCATGCAATGGCTTTTGAGAATTGGCGTTCTAGCAGACAATCTGACCCCAAAGAGCCAGTCTCCCCTTCTTCCGTTTAGCAACAGAAGCCCCAAGTTTAGCAAGGGGTGGAGCCACCCCAGCAGTCTGCCCCTCTCTGCCTCATGCAGGTAGGTGTGGCCTGTGTCTAAGTTCTACCCAAGAGGATATGAATGGAAGTTATATGTGCAACTCTGAGTCACATCCTTAAAAGGCCACTTCCGCTCGTTCTTTCCCCCTTTGCCACCCGGTGTGACATGGGTGTGGTGGTGAGAGGTCAGTTTTGGTTACATGGAAGAACAACAAGCAGAAAGAAACCTGGTCCCTGAGTGACTGTGTGAAGCAGAGACCCTGCTCCCCAGGCCTCTAACTGGACTTTTATGGGAAAGAGAAAGCAACATGCCTTGCTTCTGTCATTGATCTCTGTGAGGGAAGCCAGACCATCAACCTGACATAAACAGGCCTTCCCTAACCTTTGCATTCTCATCTCCCCTACCCTCTGCCTCGCTGCATTACTGTTATGCTCCAGCCACATATAACTGGCCCCTTGGGATTCCACGCAATCCATTCCACCTTAAGGGCCCGGGTTGTCCGTCTCTGTCTCCACCTCCCACAGGCCTGTTTTGCAGCTGATACCGGGGCTGCCACACAGTCGGGCCTCAGTGAACATCTGCTGAATGAATGAATAAAGATTTCTTGACTGCTGCACACTGAGTTCATAGGCCACTAAAGCCTGGAACACTTTGTGAAGTCACATCTAACCTCATGGTATTTATGCACTTGGTCTTCCGGGTCTAAAATATACACAACTGTACTGTGTTGAGGAGATGCACGCTCAGGGGCGTGTGTGGGCAGTTGGGGAATGTCTGATGTCATCTGGACAAACTTTCCAGAGGAACCAGGCCCCTCGCTATAAATCATACCAACGGAGGGAAGATTTATGGATTCAGACGGAGCATGTTGTATCATGTTCTTTTTTTTAAGCATTTCTTTTCTGATTTTATTAGCATTATTGGTGTGCTATGTTCATTACGTGTGGCAAGTATCACAAATAAGGCCACAGGCCTGAATGGTCCCGTGTCCTGTGGCAGCGGGGCAGGCCGCCCAGAGTGCTGTGGCCAGTCCTCTCGCATCTGCTGCTGCTCCTTCGGGCCCTGGCTCACCACCCACTCATCCAGTTACACATCCAGATATTTAGATTGCACTTCTGAATTATTTTCCGAAAGTACGCTGCCCTTCTCACACTGCCTACCATCACCTGCTGCATTGCTAAACAGCCTCCTACACCCTTTGGTCTTGCTCCTCTGTAGTGCTGTCCACCCTGTGCAGAGTGGCCTCTCTGGAAAGCAGATCTACCTGCTGGCACCCTCTGTGGCTTGCTGGGCTCACCAAGCCACAAGAGGACAGTGGGCCGGTGTCTGGTGTGAGGTCCTCCACAGACACCCTGGCAACTCTTGGCCCCACAGCACTCCTACACCCTTTGGTCTTGCTCCTCTGTAGTGCTGTCCACCCTGTGCAGAGTGGCCTCTCTGGAAAGCAGATCTACCTGCTGGCACCCTCTGTGGCTTGCTGGGCTCACCAAGAGGACAGTGGGCGGTGTCTGGTGTGAGGTCCTCCACAGACACCCTGGCAACTCTTGGCCCCACAGCACTCTGGCCCTGTCCCCTTGCCGTGCCCAACACCTCTCTGGGGGTCTCCCTCCACACCCTGTGTCTTTGAACATGATGTTCTTTGTGCCTGCAATGGCCGCCCTGGATGCCTCTTGCCCATTTGTCCTTGGAGAGTCCACTCAAGTCCATTTTCTCAGAAAGCTGTCTGTGTAGCCCTCCACCAGCCCACTTTGGGCCAGGTACCTTCTCTTGGTCGGTGGTTCCCCAGCATGAATGCACGTCTCAGCTACTGCGCAGGCCTTGGTGTTCCATCACGCTCAGGCAGGGC